TTGTTTTTTATTCCATCCCACCACTCTGTGTCTTTTGATTGGAGTGTTCAGTCCATTTACATTTAGGGTAATTATTGATATATGGGAGCTTGTTGTTGTTATTTTATCACTCTTTTTCCTGTTCTTTTTTTTTTTTATTTTATTTTTATTTTTATTTTTTTAAAGATTTTGTTTATTTTATTTTTTCCCCCCAAAGCCCCAGTGGATAGTTGTGTGTCGTAGCTGCACATCCTTCTAGTTGCTGTATGTGGGACTCGGCCTCAGGATGAACGGAGAAGTGGTGCCTCGATGCGCACCCGGGATCCGAACCCGGGCCACTAGCATCACAGCGCGCGCACTTAACCACCAAGCCACAGGGCCGGCCCGATATCTTTTTCCTGTTCTTTTGCATTTCTTTTGTTTCTTGTCCCATGTGTTTCGGAATACCAATTTAGTTTGGTAGTTCTATATGGGGGTTCTCTTAGTTTTCTCTTTCTTTATCGTGTGTGATTCTGTTCTGATTCTTTCGTTAGTGGTTACCATGAGGTTTGTATAAAAAATCTCGTGGATGTGATAGTCCATTTTTTGATGGCCTCTTATTCCCTTAGACTAAGCCGATTCGATCCCTTTCCTCTTCCCCTTCTGAGTTATTGTTGTCACATCTTATTCCTTCTTGTGTTGTGAGTTCGTGTTTAACATGACGAGTTTATATTTATGCTTGGTGCTTACTTTACCTTTATCTTTGGTTTTATATTTAAGTATTTGCTAGTCTATTGTGGTAGAGGACTGCAGTTTTTCTGGTTTTGTTGACCTCTTTTCCTCCTTGTTCAAAACTTTGAATCCCCTTTCTCTTTTTTCCCTCAGGGATGAGGGCCTTCTTGAACACTTCTTGTAGTGGGGGTCTTGTGGCAATGAACTCCCTTAGCTTTTGTTTATCTGGGATAGTTATTATTTCTCCATCATATCTGAAGGATATTTTTGCTGGATAGAGTATTCTTGGCTGAAAGTTTTTGTCTTTCAGAATTTTGAATATATCATTCCACTCTCTCCTAGCCTGTAAAGTTTCTGTAGAGAAATCGGCTGAGAGCCTGATAGGAAATCCTTTGTTATGTTATTTTTTTTTTTTGTCTAGCTGCCCTTAATATTTTTTCTTTGTAGTTGACTTTTGCCAGCTTTACTACTATATGCCTTGGAGAGAGTCTTTTCGTGTTGATGTATTTAGGAGATCTGTTGATTTCATTCACTGGTATTTCCAGCTTCTTCCCCAGGTTTGCGAATTTCTCAGATATTATTTCTTTGAACAAGTTCTCTGCTCCTTTTTCCCTCTCTTCTCCCTCTGGAATACCTATAATCCTTATGTTGGATTTCCGAATTGAGTTGGATATTTCTCGGAGAGTTTCTTCATTTCTTTTTAGTCTTAGTTCTCTTTCCTCCTTCATCTGGAGCATTTCTGCATTGCTTTCCTCAGTACTGCTAAGTCTTTCCTCCATATTGTCAGCTCTGATGCTTAAGGCTTCCAGATTTGTCTTTATTTCCTCTATTGTGTTTTTCATCTCGAAGATTTCTGATTGGTTTTTTTTTTTTTTACAGTTTCAATCTCTTTTTTGAAGAAGCTCCTGATTTCATTGAATTGTCTGTGTTTTCTTGTATTTCATTAAGCTTTTTTATGATGGCTGTTTTTAATTCTCTGTCGTTAAGGTTATACATTTCTGTACTTTCTGGGTTGACTTCTGGGTGCTTCTCATTTTCCTTTTGGTCTGGATATTTAATATATTTTTGCATGGTGCCTATTGGTGTTGGCTTACTTTTCCTCATAGTGAAAATATATGGTCACAGTTTCCTCTTGCTGCCACTGGTCAAGGGCTGTGTATTCTGGCCTGCCTCAATCTGTGGGCACTCTCGTCAGCCCCTGGCTGATTTGAGGCATGGCTGAGTGGAGGCTGCTGGCGGGGAAGCGTGGGAACTGCTAGAGCTGGAGTTGGGAACAGCTGAGACTGGAGCACAGCTAGGCCGAAGCAGCTGGGGCTCGGGTGATGGTGGGTTGAAGCAGCTGCAGTTGAAGTGCCACTGGGCCAAAGAAGCAGGGGCTGGAGCACGGCTGGCCAAAGAAACTGGAACTGGAGTGCGCTGGGCTGAAGAAGAAAGAGCTGGAGTGCTGCTGGGCCAAAGAAGCTGGAACTGGAGTGTGCTGGGCCAAAGAAGCTAGAACCAGAGCGCAGTGAGCCGAAGGAGGAGGAGCTGGAGTGCAGCTGGGCCAAAGAAGCTGGAACTGGAGTGCGCTGGGCTGAAGTTGCTGGCGCCAAGTCGGCTGGAGCCTGAACACAGGCCAGGCTGAAGCTGCTGGAGCTAGGGGTCTGGGGGGCGGCCAAGCTGAGGAGTGGGGGCGTGGCATGGTCCAGCCAAAGGAGCTGGGGCCCTGGTGTGGGGAAGCTGGGGCCGTGGCTTGGTCCAGCCAGAGCAGCTGGGGCTGTGGTGTGGTGGGGCCTGAGCTGCTGCTGCCTGTGGTGCGGGGGCATGGGCACCTGGAGGCTGCTGCCTATGGGGGTGGGGCGGTCACGCTGCCCCTGCTGGTGGGGCCTGGGGGCTGCTGCCTCTGGGGACAGGGCTGAGCTGAAGTGCCAGTTGGACAGGCCAGGTGGGGGAGGGGCGCTTACTTTTGCCTCCGCAACCTCAGAGGTTTCTTGCCGCAGAGGTTTCTTGCCTCGCTGTCGCTCTCTGCTCTCCTGAGGGGCTAGCTTGTTGTTACTACCCTCATAACAGTGCCACTTCCTCCATAGGGGGATCCCCTCAGGCTGTGAGGGGTCTTGGAGAGCGCCGGTTTTCATGTGGCCAGCTGCCCTGCCGCCCCTCCCCCTCCTCTGAGAGCTGCACAGTCTCAGTCTCTGGGTCGCAGTCTTTGGGGAATGAAAGGAGCTCCTCTTACCTCTTTCTGCTTCCTCTGGGGATTCCAGCACCTCTGTCCTCGGGTATATGGCTGCCTGGGTGCCTCAGACATCCCCTGTGTTGTGTGAATAGCTTCTGTTGGAATATGAATGTCCTTTTTGTTGTGTCTTAGAGGGGGAGAGTTCAATGGGGGAAGCTCACTCCGCCGTGACTGAATGTTTCTGACCAATGTTATATTCTTAATGGCAGATTTTGAAATGTTTAGTAAGTTAGAAAAATTAAGACTTTTTTATTCCCATGTGTAGAAAATGGCTTCTGTTATGATTAATTTATTTTCACAAAGGTTTGAAAATGATGATGACATTTGAGGTTAATGGAACAGAGTGGTAGTAGTTGAGAAGCCTTTTTCACTCATGCTGTCACTTCCTAGGCTATCTTCTCGTTCTACACTGTCTCCTGAGGAAATCTCATCTACTCCCGTGGCTTTAGTTGGCAAATGAATCTCATCCATCCCCCTGCCTGCTTGACACATCCGTTTAGGTGTATCATAGGCACTTAAAGCTCCGTATGCTCCCAACTGAATTCAAGATCTTCCCTTTAAACCATTATTCTAGTGGTGTTCACTGTCTCAATACATGGCATAGCCATACATCCCCTTGTTCAAGACAGAAATTTAAAGGTCATCCTCGATTCTTTTCCCTGGTCCCCTTACAGCTAGTTATTTCCCAAGTCCTGTTGATTCTAATGGCCAAACATCTCTGAAATCCTTCCACCTTTCTTATTTCCTTCTGTTGTCAACACCATCTGTCACCTGGCTAACCACTCCAGCCCTCTAACTGGTTTCTTCACATCTCCCCTTGCTTTCTTCCAATTCTTAGTACACAGTATAGCCATAGTGAACATGATTTCACTCCTCTGATTGAAAACTCATTCTATGGCTTCATTTAGCTTTTAGGATAAGCTCTAAAAGCCTTATCATGGCCTTATGGCCCTATGTGATTAGGCCTCTGCCAATTTCTGTAGCTCTGTCTGCATCCACCTTCATTTTCCATTTCTGTTTCTTCCATTCTGGTCTCATTTTATTTCCTCAAAATGTCCATTCTCTTTCTCATCTCTTGCTACTCACTCTGTTCCTATCTAATTATTACTCATATTTCAGATTGTATCTTAAACTTTACCTCTTCTGGAATGCCTTCCCTGCCCTTCTCCCCTTTCCTCCTGCATCAGTTCTGCCTGGATTATTTCCCTTGCTCCCATCTAGAACTCTGTGTTTCTCATTCCCACCGCTCATCCTGCTTATAATTATTCAACCAATATCTCCTCCCCAAGATTACACACATCATAAGATTAAGGATCGTGTTTGTGTTTTTTGTCACTGTGTCCTGCCTAGCACAACGCCAGGCTCAGGTGTGTGGTAAATATTTGTTGAATGAATGATTTTAGATATTTAGGAAGTTTAAATTGTATCTGTAATTACCTGTAATAATTGTATTGTCACCTTTTTTGTTAACTCCTCTTATTCCTTACAGCTGTCACTTAAAAAATTTCTTTCTTTAAATAACGAATTTAAGATTAAGAAGAAAAAAAACTACCACTTACATGTACTATATATACCAGACCTTGTGTTGGTTGCTTGAAGTAAATTGTTTCATTTGGTTCTTACTATCAATGTAGGGTAGTTATTCTTCTCTCTGTTTTACCATTGAGGAGACAGTTTCTGGGTAGGTGCTTGTCTAAGGTCAAGGGCCCAAAAGGTGGCAGATATGTGGACTCACTCTGAGGTCTTTCCACTCGGGAACCTGTATTCTTTTGCTGTAATTATACTACCTTCGCCAATTTAACGTCCACGTTAATTAATATACACATTACAAGAAATTTCTTATAATTAGCTGTAATGTAAGGTTTTGCATTTAGGTTTTGGGGTACTTTTTGTTAAAAGTTGACTAATGCTTTAAGAGTGCTTTGCTCATGTGGCACAGAGTACATATTGTAATTGTGGATAATAAAGGTGAAATTTGTATTAGAATAAATTTTAAATCTAGGGAAGAAATTACATCACAGTGTGAAAGGAATTAATTTTAAGAGCTGTTGTTCCATAGCATTAGACTATAAAAAGTGATTCTCTTCGTCATTTTCAGGAACTATTTTTGCATATGGACAAACTGGAACAGGCAAAACTTTTACCATGGAAGGCGTTCGAGCTGTTCCTGAACTTAGAGGAATCATTCCAAATTCATTTGCTCACATATTTGGTCATATTGCAAAAGCAGAGGGTGATACAAGGTAAAAGAAAATACTTTTATATTCTAATATTGAGAAGTACAAACATAAGAAAGGCATAGAGGTACAAATTTTATAAACACATTTTAAAACTGTTCTTATAAATATTTCACTGTTTTTTATGTTTTTAAAAATGATATTTTATTCATAGATTTTTGGTTCGAGTGTCTTATTTGGAAATATATAATGAAGAAGTTCGTGACCTTTTGGGCAAGGATCAGACACAGAGGTTAGAGGTAAGGATAATTGAAATTGGAGTACTTTCCAAAACAATAGAATTTTTACTAAATTAAGGTTCTTTTTGTACAAAAGGTACTTTTAATATTTTACTTATTTTTTGAGTATGTAATATGATCACATAGTTCAAACATAAAAATGTTGTAAAAATTTATGCATTGAAAAGTCTTGTTCCTACTCTATCTGTCCCATTTCTCCCCACCTTAAGGTAACCACTTTCAGTGTTCCTTTATGTAAATACAAGCAAATATAATTTATTTTTACTCTAAAATTAGCATAATGTATACATTGAGCAGCACTTTTTTTTTAATTAAAATTTTTATTGAGTTAAGTGTAGATTCACACACAGTTGTAAGAAATAATGGAGAGATTACCCATTACACAGTTTTCCCCAGTGGTAACATTTTACAAAGCTATTGTACAGTATCACAACCAGCATATTGACATTGATACAATCCAAAGATATTATTCAAATGCCCCCAGTTTTTCTCATACTCCTTTGTGTTCTATACTATTTTATAACATATGTAAGTTGGTATATCCACTACCACATCAAGGTACTAAACAGTTCCCTCACAAAGATACCACATCTACCTCTCTCCTGACCACTCCCCTCTGTCCTCATCCCTAACCCCTGACAAACCCTAATCTGCTTTCTAATTCTAAAATTTTGTCATTTCAAAAATGTTATATAAATATACCCATACAATATGTAACTTTTGGAGATTGGCTTTTTTCACTTGGCGTAAGTCCCTGGAGATTTATCTAAGTCGTTGTATGTATTGATAGTTCATTCCATTTTATTGCTGAGTAGTATTCCATGGTATATACATGTACAATAGTTTGTTTAACCATTCCCCTGTTGAGGGACATCGAGGCTGTTCACAATTTTTGCCTATTATGAATACAGCAATTATGAACTTTCACGCACAGATTTTTATGTGAATGTGAGTTTTCATTCCCTGGTATGAATGCCCAAGAGTACTCCAGAATTTATTTTAAGTCAGAAATTTTTCATGTGTCAGAAATATAGCTATTAAGACTAATAATGAATGCAGTCACAAATGCTCGTGTTTTTAATCTTTCTTTTACCTGAAGGAAAAACCAAACTTCCTGGTTGAGAAATTCTAGTTTGTATACTTTTGGGTAGTAGATCGACATCAAAGACTTTCATCGTGCATCTTAGAAAAGGGAACTGTGAGAGTATGTGGATAAATATCAGATAACCACAAAAGTGGTTATTTGGTATGTTATGCTGTTGACTGACACGTGTAGCTGATTCACATTCATTATTTTATTAAATTGAGATATAATTCACATAGGATAATATTCACACTTTTAAAGTGTACAATTTAGGGTTCTTAGTATATTCACAAAGCTCTGCAGCCGTTACTACTGTCTAATTCTAGAACATTTTCATCACCCCAAAAAGAAATCCCATGCCCCTTAGGAGTCATTCCCCATTCCCCTTTCTCCTCACTTCCTGGCAACCAGTAATTTACTTTCTGTCTCTCTGGATTTGCCTATTCTGGACATTTCATATAAATGGAATCATATATATGGTCTTTTGTGTCTGGCTTCTTTCTCACAGTATAATGTTTTCAAGGTTCATACATGTTGTAGCATGAATCAGTACTCTTTTTTTGACAGCCTTATTGAGATATAATTCACATAGCATATAATTTACCCATTCAAAGTGTACAGTTTATGGCTTTTGATATATTCATAGAGTTGTGCATCTATCACCAGAATCAATTTTAAAACATTTTCATCACCCCAAAAAGAAACCCCATACCCTTAGCTGTCACCCCCCCCCCCCCCAATTCTCCCCAGTCCTAGGCAACCACTAATCTACTTTCTGTCTCTATAGATTTGCCCTTTTTGGATATATCATATAAAGGAATAATACAATATATGGTCCTTTGTGACTAGCTTCTTTCACTTAGTGTAATTTTTCATGGTTCAGCCATGTTGTAGCATTATCAGTACTTCATTTCTTTTGTTGCTGAATGATAATCCATTGTATGGATATACCACATTTTACTGATTACTTTTTCGTTGAACATTTGGGTTGTTTCTAGTGTTTGTCTATTATGAATAATGCTGTTATGAACATTCTTGTACAAGTTTTTGTGTGAAAATATGCTTTCAATTTTTTTGATTATGTATCTATCAGTGCAATTGCTGAATCATGTGGTAACTCTATTTTTAACCATTTGAGGAACTGCCAGACTGTTTTCCATAGTGGATGTAACATTTTACATTCCCATCAGCAATGTGTGAGGTCTCCAATTTCTCCACATCCTTGCCAACACTTGTTGTTGTCTTTTATTTTAGCCATTTTAGTGGGTGTAAAGTGATATCTCATTGTGTGCTTGATTTCCGTTTCCCTAATGGCTGATGATGTTGAGCATCTTTTCCCATGCTCATTGGCCGTTTGTGTATCTTCTTTGGAGAAATATCTGTTCAGATCCTTTGCCCATTTTTAATTGGGTTATCTTTTTGTTCTTGAGTTGTAATAGTTCTTGTGGTAGTAGTACATACTTTATTTCATTTAATCTTCCCAGCAGTTCAATTTTGTTGATGTGAAAGCTGAAACCTAGAGGAATTTCCTGACTTGCTCAAGGTCATGTGGCAGGTAAATGGTGCTGTCATCTAGGACTAAGAGGGTGTCTTTCTGAGGTCCTACCATCTTAGCTTGAATTCTGCCTCTCATCTCTTGAGCAAGTTACTTAATCTCTGTGAGCCATGAAAATGGAAATAATAGTAGTTATCTACTTCATAGGATTATTGCCAGCATTAACAAATTAATACAAAGTGTGTAAGTCAGTGCTTACACATAATAAAGTATTCAATCAATGTTAGCTTTTTTCTTTTGTAAGTTTGCTATATAAACTGAGCTTTTGAAGCAATATATTCAGGCTTAGGCATTATTTGTGTTTGTTGGACTTTAATGGAGGCTTATTCTATAGTGATAATGTGTGCATAGTGAATGTAGAGATGTTTCTTTTTTGCTAGTTGTCGTCTGTAGTTTTGATGGATACTTTGTTAATTATATGCTTTTACCTTTTGAAAGTTGATCGTTTTATTGCACAAATTGTTAGAATGAAAATCATTTGGAAAGAGCATTTCCATTTTTGTACCAGTAATTAACGATCAGGTTTATTCTTAGAAACAGTCTTGTCAATGGTTCTCAACCATATTAGACCTAATGCCCCTTTTTTATTACATACATTTTGTAATGTCTCTTTGACTATCCTGAAATAAAATTCATAGGTGATAAAATCTATCTGTACATATAATTTTTAAAATATCAGTATACTGCCCAATTGTAATATAAAGGGGATTAAAAGTACTTAAAAATAAAATGCTAGTATTTCAATATATAAATGCTTAGATGTGACCATAACTTGATGACATAATGAAGTAGTCAGAGGTGTATGTAATCATCATCACTGCAACAGCTACAAATGCAGACTGTTACAGGTATGTTGTATTGGTGATCTAAACACCTTGATCGGTGTTGTTGTCAATGACATGGTCTTTTAAAATAGCGACTAGCTCTTGGTAGAGTTCTGAGCAAAATAAAATAGTTCTTTCCTCAGTTTTCCTGCATTCCTATATTATTATTATTGCCATGGAAAGGCACTTTGTTTGCATATGTAAAATAGAATTAGAGTCTAGACTCAGGTAATTGTAGTTTTTTCACCCATGTGAATATCTGATAGGACATTCAAAATTGAGTAGGACAATTCTTCATTGGTTGAGAGCATCCCACCGGTTTCAGGATGTTTAGTATCCCTGGCCCCTCCCTCTGAATACAAACAGTGTCCTCAAGTGAACCAGAAACTCCTCTACAAATTTCTAAAACATTCTGGGCAGGGGAGTAACTGCTTGCATTGAGATCCGTTGTTTTTGTCTTATAAACTGTATTTGTTATAGAAATTAAATTTCTATGTTTTTATGATAAAAATTCTTTGATAGCATTACCACCCAATTTTTTAAACTTTCATAAATTTGGAATCATATTCGATTCCTTCATCTTTAATATCAGTTTATCTACACTTACTAATTGAATTTTGAAGTAAATATTATGTTGTGATTGGAAACAACCTTAGACTTTGCAGACAGATGCCAGTTTGAAGAATGTTTCCAGTCTGCGTGAGATGAGCACAGAAAGTGAGAGGAAATGCTTCAAAACTTTTATAGCAGTTTGACATCACCATGGCATTCAAGTGCATGATTTTTGTATTTTTCAGAAATGTCAGTGTCCCAGATTAGAAATATATACATTGTTCTTTACCATAGATTTTCTGAGAAGTGTTGATGTAGACCAGTAATTTTCAAACCTGCTAAAAGGTTTAAAGCATTTAAACACTTTGATCAAACTAAACCTGATGTGGAAGCACTGTGTGTAAAATACATGGACGTGAAGCTCTCTTTAGAACTTGTCTGGGCCTAAAGACCCCCAGACTCCCACAGTGGCCCCCTCCGTGCCACCATGGACGCCTCTAGGGCTTCTCAGAGCACAGTTTGGAACCCACTGGTTTATAGAAACCAACACACTCATTTACTACTAATAAAATTAGGGCTTAATTTATATCTCATGACAGAAAAAGGGTAATTTTTCCTAATGTATAAATATATCTTATAAATTGTTATAAAAGAGACCAAAAACCTCAAAACCTCCCAACTAGATCTAAAATCAACAATCAACACCTGGAATTTGGAGTGTCTGCCCTTGTGACTTTGGTCTCTGGCATTGTTTTTTAAACTTTTGTTTGTCGTCTTTGGCTAGATCTTACTACTTGTTGAATGGCTCTCCCCACTGGCAGCCACAGGCCTCTGCCTCAGTTTCACTTTATTCTGTTGACTTGTGGAGATGACTTCTAGGGCCTACCAAAGTGAATTTTGTATTTCTAACACTATCTGTATTTTAGGTAAATCTATCCTAAATACATCTTTCAGATTTGGTAAAAGTTCTCATGAGATTACTCACAGAAAGGTAATATTTTTACATGGATGCCATAGATCTCATTATTTCATTCAACTATTTGAAATCCTCCAGGGGCTTCAAATTGCTGTTAAGATAAAGACCCATTAACTATGCTTACTCTTATCTCTTTCTACCTCTATAGCCAGATATCCCGCCTATTTCCCCCCTGCTTCCTATTCTTCCCAGCCACTCTGGCTTTTTTTGTTTCCTTTTTATTTTTTCTAAGTGCCTAGTTTTTTCCCATTTCAGGATCTTTGCACATACTCTTTTCCTTCTACCTCAACCCAGATTGGCTACCTCTTATTTCTTCAAATCTTAGCTTAAACATCATCTTGGGGAAATGTATCCTGTCCCTGCTTGACTAACTTAAGTCTCTCTGTATTGTATTTTCATTCTGTCCTGTATTTTTTTTCTTCATGGCATTATCACAATTGAAATAAAATAATTTTTTTGTGTAATTATTCGTTCATATGTTCTCCCTGTAGATTGTCACCTCCACAAGTGTAGAGACTGTGTCTACCTTGTGCATTACTGTATGCTCACTATCGAGCAGAGTGTCCAGCACATAGTAGATGTTCAATAAATAACTGTGGAAGAATTATGGATATATGTGTAAAGTCTTACGATCTTTTTTTTTTTTTCAGGTTAAAGAAAGGCCTGATGTGGGAGTTTATATCAAAGATTTGTCTGCTTACGTGGTAAATAATGCTGATGATATGGATAGAATTATGACACTGGGCCACAAAAACCGTAAGTATCGTGCATAATTGTGACGTGTTGAATAGACTGGTTTAGAAGCAAAACTGGTATGACACTTTGCCCTGTAGAGACTGAATTTTTAGGTTTCTTGGAAACCCTTCCTGTTTGATTATTTACTATGCAGAGAGCATATATGAATGAAAGATATCACAGATTGCTTTCTGTGTTGACCAAAATTTTGTTTCTTAGTAATATTTCTATATCTTTGAAACTCACATATAGCTTCTCTTGTTAGCTATAATAGTATTGGTAACATTTATTGAGCACTTACTATGTGGCAAATACTTATGCTAAGTGCTTTGTAAGAATGATCTCTCTTAATCCTCACAATGGACTGTGAAGGTACTAAATTTCTATTTTATGATTGAGGAAACTGAGACTTAATTTAAGTAACTTGTCTAAGGTTATATGCTACTTAATAAGCAGCAGAGTGGATATTTAAACCTAGGCCATTATGCAGCATTACCCATGCACTATACTGCCTCCTTTTTGTTGACAGGAAAAGCAAAACAAAATTAAATATAATGTGATTCTTTTTTTTTTTTTGTGAGCAAGATCAGCCCTGAGCTAACATCCGTGCTAATCCTCCTCTTTTTGCTGAGGAAGACCGGCTCTGAGCTAACATCTATTGCCAATCCTCCTCCTTTTTTTTTTTCCCCCCCAAAGCCCCAGTAGATAGTTGTATGTCATAGCTGCACATCCTTCTAGTTTCTGTATGTGGGACGTGGCCTCAGCATGGCCGGAGAAGCAGTGCGTCGGTGCGCGCCCGGGATCCGAACCCGGGCTGCCAGTAGCGGAGCGTGTGCACTTAACCGCTAAGCCACGGGGACGGCCCTGTAATGTCATTCTTTTTAGTAATTATTTCAAGTTTTGTCTAAACAATGAAAAGCTTCAGGGCCTGTTGGGTGGTGTAGTGATTAAGTTTGCACGCTCTGCTTCAGCAGCCTGGGGTTTGCAGGTTTGGATCCTGGGTGTGGACCTACGCACTGCTTATCAAGCCATGATGTAGCAGGCATCCCATTTATAAAGTAGAGGAAGATGGGCATGGATGTTAGCCCAGGGCCAATCTTCCTCAGCAAAAAGAGGAGGATTGGCAATAGATGTTAGCTCAGGGCTAATCTTCCTCACCAAAAAAATAAATCAATAAATAAGAATAAAAAGCTTTAACAATATTTAAATACACAGGTGCCGCACGCCTGCTGCTAACAGCAATTAGAAATTAGAGATAAAACATAGGAACATAGGAAGTAAACATTTTTTAAAAAAGTTTTTATGACTAGACTATAAATCTAGCAAACTCAAGGAAATTAAACAAAAATTTTAAAAAATCAATTGCATTCTTATAAGCCAAGTAATAAAAAGAAAAAGATCAAATTTTAACAGGAAAATGAGCAAAAGGTATGTATGAATGTTATTCACAGAAGAACTATACACAGCATTAAGCGTATGAAAAGATGTTCAACTTTGCAAGTAGTAGGAAAATGCATAGTCGAGCAATCGTGAGAGATATTTTACCCGTTGGTTTGGATGACAGGATGTGCATGTTGGGGAGGCTTTGAAGAAGTGGGCACTGGTGGTGGGAATGTAAAGTGGTACAGCCTTTGTGAGGGGCACTGTAGCTGTTTCTGTTGAAATTTTAAAAGTACATTTCTTTTGACCCAGTGTTTCTAATTCTAGATATATAGTCTAGAAAAATATTTTTAGATGTAAACAAAAAAAATGCCTTATTGCAACATTATTTGAAATAGCAAAAAGTTTGACACAGTCTAAATAACTATCAATAAAACATTGTTTAGATAAATTATAGTACAAAAATACTGTGGACTATAATGAAGCTGTAAAAAAAACCAGTGAGTTAAATCTATGTGTGGAGACTTGAAAGATTTCCAAGATTTGTTAAGTGAAAAGAAAGCAAATTACAGAACAGTATATACTGCATCATCCGATTTATATGTGTGTAAAAAAGCCAAATTGTTAAACTATATATTTGGGCATTGTGTATGTGTCCACATGTGTGTATGTGAAATACAAGTTGAAAGGACATTTAATAGTGATTACTTTAGGGAAGGGGAAATAAGATTGGGGAAAAGTGATGTAGGGAGCTTTCACTTTGTTTTTTGTATGTCTGTATTTTTAAAATTTTTATGCCAAGAATATGTTCATGTATTGCTTATTTAATTTAAAAAAAGTTTAGCATAAGATTCCATTCACAGTAGTGACCAAAATCTCCCATTAGCTCCCTGAGAATTAATTTAACTTGGTATGAGATTTACTCAAGGAAAACTAAAAAATTCTAATCAGAGAAATGAAATGAAGATAAAGGGATTTGGAGACCTAAGATAGCAGAGAGGAAAATACTCTTAATTAATAAATAGGTTGAGTCCAGGAATTAAACATTTAGTACAAATATCCAAGTAGAAAAGTTCCAACATAAAAATACAAACTTTATTATATTGAAGTATAGTAAAATAACTATCAAGAGGAAAATAGCAGAGGGGGAAGTGTGGCCATAAAAGCTGCTATTCTAAATAGATGAAAAATTGATAGAAATATAAAATTAGTACCCATTTTTACACGTGGCTATAATATAGAAATAGCTAATTTTACATTTAAGAAAATAAGTCAGTCATCTCATGAACAGATACACAGCCTGCCTAGTAACTAAAATGTAAGTTTAAGCTAGTCAGATAAATTTACATTGTGGTTATCATTGTAAGTTGGTTAATATTTCTGCAGAGCAGTGTTTTTCAGCCTTTCAACTGTAATCCTTTTCTTTAAAAAATTATCTTTTGAATAGATAATCCAAACATGGTATAAAATTCAAAAGGCATGAAAGTATACATTGAAAAACAAGTCTCCCTCCTACGCTTGTGTCTCAGTCACCTAGTTCCCATCCCTGGTGGCATCCTCCATTAGTTTCTTTTTGTTTTTACAATTTTTTTTTTTAAAGGTTGTATATATATATTTTTTCCCCCCCAGAGCCCCAGTAGATAGTTGTATGTCATAGCTGCCCATCCTTCTAGTTGCTGTATGTGGGACTCGGCCTCAGCATGGCAGGAGAATCGGTGTGTCAGTGCGCGCCCAGGATCCGAACTTGGGCCACCAACAGCGGAGCGCGGGTACTTAACCGCTAAGCCACGAGGCTGGCCCCTTCCATTAGTTTCTCATGTGCCCTTCCTGATTACAGTCTGTGTGTGCCCAACCGTGTGTGTTTTTAAAGAGAGTGCTTGTGCTCTTTCTTTATGAGTTAGATGGTAGTATACGTACTTTATTCACGTTAACAATATTATCTTGGAGATCATTTCACATTAACACGTACTCGTACGTATATAGGCATTTTTAAATAACTGTATAGTATTTCATTGGATCGATCTACGTAATTTATTTACCCAATCTTTTATTGATGGACTTTTGAGTTGTTTTCAATCTTACTATTATGAGCAATACTCAATAAATATTGTATATACATGAGTTTATACACATGCAATCATGCTTGTAGGATAAATTTTTCTATACCCTCTTGAAAACATAAAAATTTAATTTTTTTCTTATTCCAAAATATTTTGACAAAAATTAAAGGTATGGAAGTGTTTTTTGTTTTATTTCTATTATGTGATGTGTCAGTAGGTTAGAGCATTGAGTCTACTTGATGGCTACAAACTGTTCTCTCCTAGAGATTGTAAAGTTCAATGTAGGTCACTTTTAACAGCATATCTGTTGCATTGCTTTGTTTTCATAACCAGAAATCACAATCATAAATAGCATGCTTTACTTATATTGCAAAAACAATAGATATTAAAATATTTAATATGATTTTTTCAAATTACATGTTCTCTCCAACTCCAAATTGAAAAATACTGCTACAGTGTGATTTAATAATCACATAGCTATAGAACTATGCCTACGCTTTGATCTGGTAATTCCAGTTTGGAAAATACGTCCTATGGAAATAATCCTAAAGAGAAAGAAAGGTATCTGCTCAAAAATGCTCATATTACTGTTCCTTCTGAGGACCTAAAATGAGAAACAATCCCAAATATCTCTCAGTAAGGGAATAGCAAAAGCAATTTCAGTAAAATTTTCAAGTTGTTTTTACATGGAAATATATGTAGGAGCTAACATTAAGTTAAGAAAAAAACAGAAAGTAAAATAAGACCTCATACTCTGGAAACATATATGTGTGTCACTACTGATCAGATGATTTGAAGTGGTGTCAGATTTAATAGCTTTTTATATTTTTGGGAAAAATTCATAAATTCATAATTTGATTTAAAAGAAAATAGAAAAATATAGTATAAAGTCACAAATCCTTGCATTTTCTTCCACTGTCATTTACCTTCTTTCATTGGGCTTTACTTTTCTTTATAGTGCAATTTGCATTCTAGTTATATGACTTCTAATATAGCCATATGCTAATAAAGAATACCCTTTTAATGTGTAAATACTAAAATCAAAGCTTGCATGGAGAAGTTCTGCATGAATATATATATATGAATATATAGTAGGAAGACAATTTTGGCAGTGGATAAAATTAAGAATGCTTTTAAAATACTCGGAATTTAAGAAAAAAGCGAATACATGTCTATTGTAAAAAACAAAACAGACTTTTTTCTTATTTTACATAAAATATTCATGTAAAATATTTATACACACAAATACTTAGTATATTTTGAATGGATGCTTTTGTTTTACAGAAATTGGATTATACTATATATTCCTCTTTTTTTTTCAGTTCATGTGTTATGGATATTTTTTCATGTCATACAGATCTACCTTATTTTTTTAAAGGACTGCTTAGTAATTCATAGTACAACTATTCTATAGTTGATAACCACTGTACTATTGACTGTTTCCCATCTCTCGTTGCACGCACTGCTGCATTGAATATCCTTGTATCATCTAATGCATATATGCAAGTAGTTCTGTGGTTTAGAGTCCCAGAACATAATTTTTAGAGACAGCTGAAACAGCAATAATTTTTCAGATTATTTAACGTGTTTTTTTTATGTAAATTATTCATTTTTTTACTACTTGGGATTGAAATTAAGTACTTTGTCCTAAAATTACCTCTCTAATATAAGAAACATTACAAATTCTTTTGTTATCAACATAAATTGTCAGAGAAATTTCTAATAATGGCTAAGTACACCTATGCTTTTATGATTTAGCCATGCTCTCTGGCTTTTGGCTGTGATAAAATTAAGTATATTTTAAACCATTCTGGATATTTAATTATTTTGAAGAGCACTCGCGTTATTGTGCTTTTTAAAGAATTTCCTTCCTTTATTCAAGGTTCTGTTGGTGCAACTAATATGAATGAACATAGTTCCCGTTCCCATGCCATCTTTACAATTACTATAGAATGCAGTGAAAAAGGCGTTGATGGTAACATGCATGTCAGGATGGGAAAGCTCCATCTTGTAGATCTTGCTGTAAGTAATAGGATATTACTTAAGGAATAACTCTCGTGATTTCTTTTTATTTTATAATAAAAGTTCAAGTGAAAAAGTGTGATTTACATATGATTTTTAAGTTGTTTACTAGCGTATATGTTTAACTTATTATTTATTATGGAATATTTCAAACCTATACAACAACAGATAGAAGTATAATGATCTCCCATGCACCCATCACCTAACTTGAACAGTTATCAGTTCATCGCCAGTCCTGTTTCATACCTATCTTTATCCACTTCTTCCCTTCCTGTATTATTTTGAAGTGAATTCTAGATATCATATCAGATTTTTTGCTGTTATATTACTCTTTTTTTAAACTTCGGGAAGAATACTCTGTATTTTTTATTTTGGCTTTATTTGTGTCTCTGTTTGTTGCTAGGGTTCAGAAAGACAAGCAAAAACTGGAGCTACTGGGCAGCGCCTCAAGGAAGCTACAAAAATCAACCTTTCGCTTTCCACCCTTGGTAACGTAATTTCTGCCTTGGTTGATGGAAAAAGCACTCATGTGCCTTATCGTAACTCTAAATTGACTCGTCTTCTTCAGGATTCCTTAGGAGGAAATTCAAAAACCATGATGGTAAGACTTAATTGGTAGTATAGTTATCATTAGGCAAATTTAAGATTCCTGTTTATGCCAATAATTGATAGGCATAACATTTTAAAAGCTATTGATTATTTTGCTTTTTTTGATTTGTAGTTATTCTTTTTCTAGTACACAATGTGTACTAGCCCATAATAGTGTTGTTTGGAAACCCATATGGTTGATGCTGTCTTTTTCAAGAAGGCCAGAGTGGAAATATGCTTCAAAAATTATTTTTGATATCTTTTTAATGGTGCCATTAATTTTAACTGTGTCAAGTGTAAAATGTTTTGTTTTGTATTCCTAATTAAACAGTGCGCAAATATTGGGCCAGCAGATTACAATTATGATGAAACTATCAGTACATTACGGTATGCTAACCGTGCTAAGAATATTAAAAATAAAGCTAGAATTAATGAAGATCCAAAGGATGCTTTGCTTCGTCAGTTTCAGAAAGAAATAGAAGAACTGAAAAAAAAGCTTGAAGAAGGTAACTTTTTCCCAAAATATTAATCTTAATGTTGACTAAAAATATGTTGCTTAACCACTAAGTGTTCTAATAAAACCACCTGTTAAAAATTCTTTGGGGGCCCCTGTGGCGCAAGCAGTTAAGTGCGCCCGGGGTTCACCGCTTCAGATCCCGGGCGCGCACCAACGCACCCCCTGTCAAGCCATGCTGTGGTGGCGTCCCATATAAAGTGGAAGAAGATGGGCATGGATGTTAGCCCAGGGCCAGTCTTCTTCAGCAAAAAGAGGAGAATTGGCAGATGTTAGCTCAGGGCCGATCTTCCTCACAAAAAAAAAAAAAATTCTTTGGGGGCCGGCCCGGTGGCGCAGTGGTTAAGTGCTCGTGCTCTGCTTCGGCGGCTTGGGGTTCTCAGGTTCGGATCCTGGGGGCGCACCGACGCACCACTTGTCAAGCCATGCTGTGGTGGCGTCCCATATAGAGTAGAGGAAGATGGGCACGGATGTTAGCCCAGGGCCAATCTTCCTCAGCAAAAAGAGGAAGATTGGTATCGGGTGTTAGCTCAAGGCCGATCTTCCTCACAAAAAAAAAAAAAACTTTGAGTCTCTGACATTGATATTTAAAGGCACATTTCTGCAAGGTAACTTGATACTTACGTACTTTAGCATTTTCATGTTAAACTCAAGTAAAATTATATATGTGTGTGTGATTTAAAAAAAATCATTTAGGGGCCGACCTGGTGGCATAGTACTTAAGTTCACATGCTCTGCTTTGGCAGCTTGGGGTTTGTGCGTTCGGATCCTGGGCTTAGACCTACACACTGCTCATCAAGCCATGTTGTGGCGGTGTCCCATATACAAGATGTTAGCTCAGGGCCAATCTTCCTCAGCAAAAAAAAAAAAAAAAAATCATTTAATTTAAACCTCCATCTCAATCCCCATGACCTTTTGTAGATTTCATATCACACTTATTAAATAATGAATTTTTATTTGTCTCTGTATAAGAGCAAGTTCTGTCGTATATGTATTTAGGTGAAAATGACCGGAGTTCTTTGTGATAGGTATCAGTGACTATTGTTTGAAGTAAAGAAAGCTATCAGAGAGTCATGGGTAAACCAAGTTTACTATAAGTAAAAATTCATTGCATGACCTTGAAAATGTGCTTTCATACTTAAATTTGAACATGAGATTCTATTTTGGGAATTGTTTTCTGACAATATAATGTTAGAAGGTTAGAAAGTTTGAAGACCTTGTTCATGAGGATGAGAAACTTCAACCGTCATAAGTGCTCAATGACTCTCTGCCCCTTCCTGCTAAGAACTGATTGGCGTTGGGCTCTTTTGCATACCAGGTAAACAGAGGGCTTTGAAACTGCCTCTTTTTCAGTCGCCGGGGAAACTGGTTAGATCAGGTGAGAAATCCAGAGCTGCCAACATCACAGATATTTGGAGAAGGTGCTGATTCAATAAACTGGAGTAAAGTTATTGAAGAAAAGCAGTAACTGAGCTGCCTCTTCAGTAATGAAATTTGGTGTTTTAAATGTGACCACTAGGTGGTATTTATAGTCAGTATGTTTTAGACTATACGTTTAGAGATTTAAAATTTCTTAGATTTGTTAATGTTGAGTTCATACCTTTATTTTGCTGACTTGATATTTTTACATTTTTGTTGTAAAATATACATAACAAAATTTACCGTTTTAACTATTTTAAAGTGTATAGTTCTGTGGCATTAAGTATGTTCACATTGTTCTGCAATCACCACCACCATCCATGTCCAGAACTTTTTAATCATCCCAAAATGAAACTCTGTACCCATTAAACCCTAATTCCTCATCCCTCTCTCTCCCTCACCCCCCTGGTAACCACTATTCTACTTGCTTTTTTTTTTAAGATTTTATTTATTTATTTTCCCCCCAAAGCCCCAGTAGATAGTTGTGTGTCACAGTTGCACATCCTTTTAGTCGCTGTATGTGGGACGCAGCCTCAGCATGGCCGGAGAAGCAGTGCGTCGGTGCGCACCCGGGATCCGAACCCGGGCTGCCAGCAGTGGAGTGCGCGCACTTAACCGCTAAGCCACGGGGCCGGCCCACCACAATTCTACTTTCTTTCTCTATGAATTTGACTCTTCTAGGTACATCATATAAGTAGAATCATATAATATGTGTCCTTTTCTGTCTGGCTTATTTCACTTAGCATAATGTCCTCAAGGTTCATCCATGTTGTAGCATGTGTCAGAGTTTTCTTCCTTTTTTAAGGCTGAATAATATTCCATTGTATGGGTATACTACATTTTGTTTATCCATTCATCTGTCACTGGACACTTGGGTTGCTTATACATTTTGACTGTTGTAAATAATGATGTTATGAATATGGCTGTACAAATACCTGGTCAAGTCCTTGCCTTCAATTCTTTTGGATATATACCAAGAAGTGGAATTGCTGGATCACATGGTAGTGCTGACTTTGTTTTTAACACTTTTCATTTTATTTATGTTCTTATGACATTTTTTTTTTTTTTTTGTGAGGAAGATCAACTCTGAGCTAACATCCATGCCAATCCTCCTCTTTTTGCTGAGGACAACTAGCCCTGGGCTAACATCTGTGCCCATCTTCCTCCACTTTATGTGGGACGCTGCCACGGCATTGCCTGACAAGCAGTGCATTGGTGTGCGCCCGGGATCCAAACCCGGGCTGCCAGCAGTGGAGCGCGTGCACTTAACCACTACGCCACGGGGCCGGCCCCATGACATTTATTTTTATAATCCAGTTCACAGAGTTTTGTAATCTGGTTAATAGAGTTGATCATATACACAGTTAAAAAGTAGGCAAAAACATTAAAAGAATAATTTAACTTTTTATTTTAAAATAATTTTAGACATAGGAAATTTGCAAATATAGTGAGGAGAAGTTCCTATATACCTGTCACCCAACTTCCCCTAATGTTAACATCTTACATAATCATAGTACAATTGTTGAAACTGGGAAATTTACATTGATACAAACTTATTAACTAATCTACAGATCTTATTCGAATTTTGACATTTTTCCCTCTAATGCCCTTTTTCTCTAGTCCAGGATCCAGTCTAGGACCACACATTGAAATTAGTTGTCATATCTTTTTAGTCTCCTCAGTCTTCCTTTATGATCTTGACACTTTTGAAGAGTACTGGTCATATATTTGTAGAATGTTCCTCAATTTGGGTTTGTCTATAGTTTTCTCAGAATTATTCTGCAAAGTTTCTATACTATAAATCTATTTTATTTTTTCCTTTGTAAGTACTATATATCTTATGGGGAGATACTTTTTTTTTTTTTTTTTCTTTTTATTTATTTACTTTTCCCCCCAAAGCCCCAGTAGATAGCTGCGTGTCATAGCTGCACATCCTTCTAGTTGCTGTATGTGGGACGCGGCCTCAGCATGGCCGGAGAAGCAGCGCGTCGGTGCGAGCCCGGGATCCGAACCCGGGTCGCCAGCAGTGGAGCGCGCTCACCCAACCACCAAGCCACGGGGCCGGCCCCTGGGGAGATACTTTTAAACTATACAAAGGTCCTGTTTCTCATCACACTTTCTCCCACTAATTTTAGCAGCCGTCAAGGGTTCTTGCCTGCAACAATAATAATTCTGTGGCATTTGCTCAATAGTGACTTTCTCTTCTCATCATTCCTTCTGGTGTTTAATGTTTGGAATTCTAAGGAAGAGCAGTCCCTTCTCCCCCACTTATTTATTTATTCAGTTATTTATTTATGTCAGCATGGACTCATGGATATTTATTTTAGTCAGTGGATTATAATACAATAATATTAGTTATTTTATTGTTCAAATTATTGCAGCTTTGGCCATTAGCAGCTCCTTTAGGGTAGTTCCTATATCCTGTCAGCATGCTCCCATCAGGATTTTTTTGAGCACTTCCTTCCTTTCTGGCACCACAAGTGTTTTAGGCTCATTTTGTATTTTCCCTTAAATCATTTGTTTCTCCCTGGTTCTTTTCACCGGAGAAGGGTGTTTAGAAACCAAGATTTGGGCATTAGGTGTGCTTATTGCTACCAGGGTGTCATTGTTTCTAGGCCTAAAAACCAAAATATTTTTAGTGAATTCCTTCTCCCAAGACTCTGTGATCTCTTTCCATACTTTATTTACACGTTCAAACATTACCTTGTTGTAATTAGTGTATATTTTACTTTTTTCCCCCAATTACCTTTGTTTTCTTAGACATTTCATATATAGACAATAGTATTTTTAAATGCTTTGAAGGTAGTATAGTACTGATCTGATTAATATTAGTTTAATTATTCTATTTTATTTTGTTTTTATTTTTTTTGTGAGGAAGATCAGCACTGAGCTAACATCTGATGCCAGTCCTCCTCTTTGCTGAGGAAGATTGGCCCTGGGCTAACATCCGTGCCTGTCTTCCTCTACTTTATATGGGACGCTGCCATAGCATGGCTCTACAAGCAGTGCATTGGTGCACGCCCGGGATCCAAACCGGCGAACCCCGGGCCGCCGCAGCAGAGCACGCACACTTAACTGCTTGCACCACTGGGCTGGCCCCTATTTTGTTTTTTTAAGTTAACATAATTTTTATATAAGCCCTTCTTCTGTTGAAATATTTCTTACATAGTCCTAAAAATGGTATCACTGTGTTACATGACAGTTTTATGGCTCTTAAAAAATATACAGGTTGGGGGCCAGCCCAGTGGTATAGTGGTTAAGTTCGTACGCTCTGCTTCGGTGGCCTTGGGTTCACGGGTTTGGATCCTGGGCATGGACCTACATACTGCTCATCAAACCATGCTCTGGCGGCATCCCATATACAAAAATAGAGGAAGATTGGCACAGATGTTGGCTCAAGGACAATCTTCCTCAAGCAAAAAGAGGAAGATTGACAACAGATGGTAGCTCAGGGCCAATCTTCCTCAGCAAAAAAAAAAAAAAAATACACACACACACACACACACACACACACACGTTGAATGAATTATTTAAATCTTAAACTAGAAAACTGAGGAGAAAATGCTCCCCAAAAGTGATCACATTTTTAAAAGACTGATACAATAACTCTAACATGTAATTTTCATATATATATTTAAAACTGTAGTTAAATTAATCATTTGGAATTTTAAATGGATTGGAATTTAACTTCTCATTAGGAACTTTAAAAATAAAGCCTCTCTGTATATCGTATCTATTTCTGAGGTTAGCATATCTGATATACTGTCTAAGGATATTAAAATAAAGTTTGTAGGGGCTGGCCCCGTGGCTTAGCGGTTAAGTGCGCACGCTCCCCTACTGGCGGCCTGGGTTCGGATCCTGGGCACGCACTGACACACCGCTTCTCCGGCCATGCTGAGGCCGCATCCCACATACAGCAACTAGCAGGATGTGCAACTACGACATACAACTATCTACTGGGGCTTTGGGGAGAAAAAGGAGGAGGATTGGCAATAGATGTTAGCTCAGGGCCGGTCTTCCTCAGCAAATCAGCAAAAAGAGGAGGATTAGCACGGATGTTAGCTCAGGGCTGATCTTCCTCACAAAAAAATAAATAAATAAATAAAGTTTGTATAGGGCAACAAGAGCTTAATGAAGAAAGTTGATATAGGCATTTCCTAGATAGCCAGTTACCTGGTACAGAATAAAAATCATTGTATTAAATTTTTATTCAAGGGGAAGAAATATCAGGCTCTGATATCAGTGGGTCAGAGGAGGACAACGATGAAGAGGGTGAGGTTGGAGAGGATGGAGAGAAAAGGAAAAAAAGAAGAGGTAAGTTCTTTTTTGTGTTCTAGAAATTAACTGGGATTACTACCTAATGATGGTTTAACATTCCTGAGGCAGTTCAGTGCATGCCTTTTATTTTGCCATTTTTAGTAATGGTAGCAATTTGAACAGAGGAAGTATGCCATATACCTGGTTATCTTTGCATTATTTTTTTCTCCTATACTGATCTCCTGTTCATAGCTGAATCAGAATGCTGTATGTTCTGTTTTTTTTAGAATTTAGAATTGTAAAAATCTATGTTAGTGGATATACCATTTTAAAATTTTATGTAGTATTTGAATTTTGTGGGGACTTGCATCTGTGTTAGGAACCTAAATTTTTTAGGAAATTAGGATAATGTGGAGTTTTTCTCAAACATGATTAGGCTTTAGAAGTCATTGAATTTTTAAATAAGAAATTTATATGAGGATTCTATTTTTTAATTTAACTTTTTTCTTTATAAAATATACCCTCATTCTCACCCTGTTATGGGGCATTTGTTGCCAAGTGTGAACTGAGACTGTGTTTATTGTAATAAAGATATAGATAACATTCAAAAGAGAGACATATTATAATGGCCTACATTTCACCCTAAATATTTATTTGTTTCAGAACTCTCTTCCATTAACGTGGATCATTGTTTTCAAGCTGGTGTATATTTTGCTTGTCTTATTAAAATGATCTTGCTGAAAATAAACCCATCACTGCTTGATCAGGAGTCCCAAATTTAAAAACTATAAAGAATCTGTAACTTCAAAAGACAGGAAAAGCGTGATTTAGAGCAGGAGTTGGCAAATATAGTTTGCTGGCCAAATCCAGCTCACCACCTGTTTTTGTAAACAAAACTTCATTAAATGGCCATGCTCATTTGTTTACATATTTTCTACTGCTGCTTGCACTTGAGACCATATGGCCGGTAAAGCCTAAAGCGCTTATCATCTGTCCCTTTACAGAAAATGTTTGCCGACCTGATTTAGAGAAGTGTTTTGTGTTCATACCTATTTTTTCACAGAGTGAACTATTCAAAGTGAAAGCAGATAATAGATTTGTTAAAAATAAAATTTTAAATAGAAAAAAAATGCCACTGCTTAATATATTAAAAGATTTAATAGTAAAAATCCCTTCCTTCCAGGCTACATATGTAAAAATTTTCAGTGAGGGGGCCGGCCTGGTGGCGCAAGTGGTTAAGTGTGCGCCCTCGGCTGCGGCGGCCCAGGGTTCGCTGGTTTGGAACCCCGGGCACGCACCGCCGCACTGCTTGGCGGGCCATGCTGTGGCGGCATCCCATATAAAGTGGAGGAAGATGGGCACAGATATTAGCCCAGGGCCAGTGTCCTCAGCAAAAAAAGAGGAGGATTGGCAGATGTTAATGCAGGGCTGATCTCAAAAAAAAAAAAAAAAAATTTTCAGTGAGCCTTTCAGAGTTTTGCCGTGAAACTTTAAACACACGTAATTATATCTGATAGTTTGATGTTTTGAAGGAGAAAGAGTGAAATAGGAGACAAACCAACCTGTCTATAATGAAGGGTAATTGATCATTCCTATAATTTTAATTGTGCATGACTTTAAATTTTAAAACTCAGTTCCTTTAACTTATCAACCTAAATAGTTAAATGTCACCAAATGACTTACTTATTTTTTATTCATGTCATTCTTACCCTCTGAATTGCTGTATTTTAGGTGATTAGGAGGGTTTGCCCACAGGTGCTTGAAGGAATACAGTTTCTAATCCCCCTGTTTTGTAATTAGAGAATATTGGATAGGCTACCAAGACTGGTTTTAAGGGAAAGTAAGTTTTGGTTCTTTAATACAAAGCTTGATGTCCTTTAAAATTCTTTCTCTGGAACTGAATTTTTCTCTGTGTATGTGTTCATTTTCTTGTTTCCTCTTTGGTTCCCGTTGGGCTCATTTCTTTGTCTTCCAGGCAGTAGCAGCAGCAGTAGTTCAGACTCCACATGTTCTGTCATAGAGAAACCTCTGGATAAGTTCTTGCCTAGTGAGTGGTAGCTCTTCACTTCTCTAACAGAGCTTTGGCTTTTCCATAACCCATGGGCTTCATTTGGGAAATGCTGCACTGCTCCCTGCCATTACTTAAAGAATACGTGTCGGACTTCTTGGTGGAACAAAGCATGTGATGATTTTTCCCCCATTCATTGCTTCCAGTTAACCATAATTGTTAAAACATACGCTTAAGCTTATGTTTGAGACAATGGAAGAGAGATTCATGCTTTTGCAATTGAGATAATGTAAAGAGAGCTAGTAAGCTGTATAACAGAGTAATTCTTGTGGTTCCTTTTTGTTTCATGATAAATTTCTAATCCTAGTCAGTATATGGGACATGTAATAACAAATGCTGATTTCTAAAAGTACAAATTATGTTTGGAAGTACACCATTGCCCATTATAACATGTCTTACAGTTATAAAGATTTTATGCCTTGGTGTCCTATTCTTAGGAGTAGCTTAAGATCGAAAGCTCCCAAATAAAGAAAAATGTAAAGTTTGAAATAAGTAAAGATAAATTGAATAGGATTTTATTTCAATTAGCAATTTACCCCTAATCTAAATTACCTGATTGATTTTAAGAAACTGTCTAAGGTATGATTACAGAATTCAGATCCACAAGAAATTGTTTATGCAGGATCTATCTAGACTTATTTCAACCTAAAGTCTTTTTCTTAAACTTTAGTTTAATTAATTAAATTGAAAAGTATTATTAATTTTATTTATATTATATTTTCAGAAGAAAAGGGAATTGATGCTTTCTTGTACTAGCTTGCAGCTTACTGCCTTTTAAAGCATTATCTATATACTTACCTTTTCAAAACTAATAACAAAAACATTTGGTTATTCTTATACTTTTAGCTTTCTAGAGGAAGAATTCCAAGAATGTTAGAAATTTTCTCTATTGACATTGTTTTCTCTATTGACAATTCTTACATTTTACCAAAACAGTTAATTTCAGAGGATAACTTAAAAATACATGAAATTGCTTTAGAAACCATATAGAGGTATTATTTTGTATTATAAACTGCAAACTATGAGAAAATTCCTGATTGGGAGGCATTATAATTTGATTTTCTGTTTTAAAACTTACCTTAATCCTTGAAGAGTGGTTATATGAAAGTATGTTATGAAATGAGTTGTACTTTGTTCAGTTCAAGAAATTTTCGTTACTATTTTTGTACCTAGCACATAACATTAAGTTCTTTTGTTGTGATGTGAGTGTGTTGGTGAAGTGGAGAGACGTTGTCCCAGCATGTGGTTGCTGTGTATAACTTGTATGTACCTTCCCTTTTAAAAATATGAATGGCCTTTTTTTTAGGTGTTCTTTGCTTGAATCATCAATTGATCGTTTACTTCTATAGAATTATTATTATAATTACCCTTGATAATCGACAATGGATTGAATGCAAATTTGTTATTATACAGGTGTACTTCACTTTATGCAATAAATTTTTTTTCTGAAAAAATTGCTTATAAATCAAGTTGGAAAATCAAATCTATTGGGAGAACTTGCCGTCCTTAAAAATTCTTCATTAAATCCTTTTGTTAATCAAATAATCACTGCAAATTACTATAATCTAATTTATATATTTAGTCGGTTGAGGTTTTTGTGTTGGAGTTTCTTAAAGGGGGGCACACCTGTAGTGGATCCTTATATTAGAAGAACATTGAATTGGGAAATTTTGAAAATGGACGATGTGAATTTTGACACTTTTACCTTTTAAATTTTTTTAAGTGGCTTAATTTTCTGTTTTGCCCTTTTAGATTACTTCCCAGGTCTTTGCAGGTTCCCAATTCCATGTCTACCGTTAGTATAACCACATAGTGCTGAACTGTTCTACTTGCAGGGGTTTGGGAGTCAGTGTGAGCTCTTGAGATTGATTTGAATTGTAACGTTAGACTAAATTAATTTTCTTATTATCCTTGCTTAAATTGCATCTCTGTGTTGAACATGCTTTTCTTTTTATATAAAACTCTTCTATTTCAGTTTTGATAATAATTTATTTCTATACTTATACTATAAATAAATGCTATTATACATTTTTCTTCATTTTACAAAAGAAATAATGTTTTTCTTTTTTCCTCCTCGTCTCTGTGCATATGCTTCCTGTCTACGGTTTGCTTACCACTTCTTATTGACAGATCAAGCAGGTTGGTGTGATTGATTTGCACTCCATGTGGTACAATTATTTAAACTATAAAGAACTTTGTTATTAAACTATATTACATTTTTTAAATTTAATATTTTTTTACAAGGTAAGTATTCATCTTTTGGTTTTGTTTTTTTTTTAAACCTTTCAACTTTAGCTTTTTTTAAAAAAAACTTCCTTCCAAAATTATTATTTTTTTAAATTTATTTCAGTTTTTATTGAGGAAGATTTTAGGAATATTCTTGTTTCCAAATGATCTTTTTAGGGAAACAATTCAGAAGTATTATATTGACAGTGACAAACACACAGGATGTTCTAGACCTAATTAACAAAACAGACAAAAATGAATAGATCACCAGAACCAGGTGGTATAATTTTTTTTCCTAAATTCTTAAAGACCCATTAAGCCAAATTTTGGAAATACGAATATCAATGATTTCACATTCAAGCATTTTTCTCTTTTTTTTAAAGCAAGGAATCACATGCCTGGTCACTTATGCCCATGGGTGCTCTTGTAATGAAAATAAAATAAATTCAGTTAACACTGACCTGAAATTCTTCCCTTTAACTTTACTTTGCCAAAGTTTGCCTTCACAGTTTTGGTTAGAGCACGTGGCAAAGGGCAATTACAAATATTACTGCTCCGGTTTGGCTAATTAAATACTCTATGACTAACATTTTTTTAGATTTATTTACCTGAAATTTTGTACTGAATTCTATCATGCAGTATTAGAAGAAAGGTTTTTTTGTTTGTTTGGTTTGGTTGATTGAGATTTTTTAAAAGAATCTTTAAAAAAATTAGTGTAAAAATGACTTTTAGTGATGTCACGCTTTTAAGTGTCTGGTTAGGAGAGTTGGTACATTATATTTAGCTTAAAATATTATTTTGGGGAGAAGTATAATGATTTATCAGAGTAATTTTGGCCAGAATAATATGTTACTTAAATGTTTAACTTTTGAAACTGAATCTAGCTACATCTACATGATCATCTTTATGAAAATGTTATAAGAGCACAATAAGATTTTTGCTGCTAAAGCATCAGTTTGAAAATATTACCTGAATGGTTTTGAATAACTAATGCAATTCAGGCATAGCAGTAATTTATCAATAGGCATATGCTTTTGTATTTCTACATAGAAAATCTTTTTTTTTTTTTTAATAATTTTTTATTTATTTCTTTCTTTTCCCCCAAAGCCCCAGTAGATAGTTGTATGTCATAGTTGCACATTCTTCTAGTTGCTCTATGTGGGACGCGGCCTCAGCATGGCCGGAGCAGTGGTGCATCGGTGGGAACCCGGGATCCAAACCCGGGCCGCCAGCAGTGGAGCGCGTGCACTTAACCGCTAAGCCACAGGGCCGGCCCAGAAAATCTGTTTATTTTACTGCCTCTTAATGGGTTTGGAAACTATATGTTTTTTGTTTTTTTTTTTTTTTAAAGATTTTATTTATTTATTTTTCCCCCCAAAGCCCCAGTAGATAGCTGTGTGTCATAGCTGCACATCCTTCTAGTTGCTGTATGTGGGACGCGGCCTCAGCATGGCCGGAGAAGCAGCGCGTCGGTGCGAGCCCGGGATCCGAACCCGGGTCGCCAGCAGTGGAGCGCGCTCACTTAACCACCAAGCCACGGGGCCGGCCCAAAACTATATGTTTTTAACTATTAACAAAACACTTAGAACCCTGGAAGACCTAAAAAATTAGTGTACACATGTTGTTGATGAGATCATTTCCTCTATACTGTTAGTATCCATGTCTTCACATGTAGTTTTTTTTTGTCTTAACATATTTGCCATTTTTTCTTTAAATATTTGTAATTCTGAGGTGGAAAGGAAGTTATAATTTTTTAATGCATACGTTTACTTTATACCTGAACTTATACTTTACCCCTTCAAATTTCTAAGAAATAGTATTACCAACGGGAAGTCTTTCTTGGAATTCATTGGGAATAGGAGTTAGATCACTTTTTTTTTTAACAGCGTAATGCAGAACATTCAATATAGCTGACTGTGCCAAAGAAACCATCAGAATCAGGTCTACATCCTGACTTTTGGAATGCAATGAATCACACCACACCAAAGCATGGATTTGGATCAGTGCTTTTATTTACTCTTTTATTTAACTTATTTGTTTCGTGGCTTAAGTTTGCTTTGGACCTAATATTTCTATAGAAATGAAAGGTAATATATTTTAAACCCTTAGGTTTTTTATATAATTTTATCCTAAAGAATTAAAGTCTGTGAATGATTTTTCATCTTATGGTTTCTGAAAGAATATTCAGATATATATCTCCATCATCATTATTTTTTAGTTCTCTTGTTAGCAGAAGGGGTTAGCTTTTGGGTGGAGACATTAACAATTTATAGTCTTCTGATTTACACTCTTTTGTTGTCCTTTGGGAAGGAAGTTAAGAATGCTGAAAAGCTTTGGGGAGAGCCTCAGATCAGTTCTACGAAAAGTTTGCTTGTTTTTCTGAAGGAAAGTATGTTTCAAAGAAATTGTATTACCAGAAGTGAATTATCTTGGGTTCGGTTTCATAGCCAATTTAATAAGCTAGTTTTTATTTTGTCTTTTTGATTTTTCATTTTAATTTCATGATTTTGAAATTTGTTCAATAAACTTTTGATGAACACTTTTTATATGTATATAAAATACTCTACTAGGCATTATAATCAAAATAATCAATTGGAAGCTGTATTTCCAGCTTTATTATTTCAGACTATTTCTACTTATTTTGACACTTGACATGTTTAATTTGGCTTAAGGAGATTTAGGATCCTGAGTTTGATATAATAACAAGCTATTTTAGTTGTTCATTTAAGATATAATATATCATAACAGCTCAGCAACTATAAAATGCCTGGTTAATTACTATGTAACTGTTATATAATCAGTATAGAATTTCTTCCTTTAAAACTATACTATGAAATAAAATACTTTCAAGTAATTTTATTAAATAAAAATTTTAGAAAAACTCTGAAGATACATATTAAAAACTGGTTGCTATAAGTTTTGCCTGATAGTTTTATCTGTGCATTTGATACCTATATGTGACGTTTATTTATTTTAATAAATTTTGGGGAAATCACTTGATTTTTTAGAAGCCACTTGATTTTGTACCTGGTTGTCAGAAAAAAAGTAACTAAAAAATCATATTACTTTTTTGACCATATGTTACCTGGGACACACAGACCTTTGCTTTTTGATTTGTTTGGCTTTCCTGTTAATCTTTCTTTTTTTCCCTGCTCATCTGTTTTGCTTCTCTTTCACTTACTGTTGTTCTTAGTTATCATTGCACAATTGGACAACAGTTTGAATTTAGCAATTACTTAAAAAGTTCTTCTAGAAACATAATAAATAGAAATAAAATATATTCATTTGATTTCCTTAAAATGTTATTTGATTTTATATGATTGAAGAGTGTATCTTTTATACTGAAGATAATTTATGCAAGTCTGAAACATTGACTCTAAAGTGATTGTTGCAATTAAATGACTCGAATAGGTAAAAAGAAAGTTTCCCCAGATAAGATGGTTGAAATGCAAGCAAAGATTGATGAAGAGAGAAAAGCACTTGAAACAAAGCTTGACATGGAAGAAGAAGAAAGAAACAAGGCTAGAGCTGAACTAGAGAAACGGGAAAAAGATCTTCTTAAGGCCCAGTGAGTGTTACTGAATTGAGATGGATTCGTGATTTAAATTTCTGGTATTTTTCATAGGATGTATAAGCAAGAAAATTGAATAGTAATTAAAAGCTTGATTTTTGTCTCCAGAGTAGCTATTTTTGGATAGACGTTTTCATTGTGTGTTGTATTTTTAAAAATTACGTCTGTTTTGATTATTTCATCTCTATGTGGAAGGAAAAAATATCGGTGAATTTGAATTAGTTTTAGATGAAATCATAAATTAATACTACACAGTAGTGTACTTTGATAGAGATATTACATAATTATATTCCTAGTTTGAAATTTTGCATCCAAATTCTTGTTAAATCTTGGGAAATGATATTAGTAGAATAGTAGATAATCAATGGATATAGAGTATTCTCATTTTAATCAACAGACAAGAGCATCAGTCTTTGCTAGAGAAATTATCTGCACTGGAGAAGAAGGTAATTGTTGGTGGTGTTGATTTGTTGGCGAAAGCTGAGGAACAAGAGAAACTTCTTGAAGAATCTAATATGGAACTGGAAGAAAGAAGGAAAAGAGCAGAACAGCTTCGCAGAGAACTTGAGGAAAAAGAGGTAATGTGACTTGTTATGTTTGGTTGACACTGCCTAAGGTATTTAACTTTTCTAATAAAAAGCTAAATAACTATAATCTTAATATTTTAAAGCAGGTCTGTGGGTTGCTTTGAAAGATAATAGTTGCTAAACATTTACATCATTAAATAATTTATGATTTAATGAAAAAAATTATTAAGTTTTTCAATTTTTATCTTAGCAAGAACGCTTGGATATTGAAGAAAAATATACTAGTTTGCAAGAGGAAGCTCAGGGAAAGACCAAGAAATTAAAGAAAGTTTGGACTATGCTGATGGCTGCAAAGTCAGAGGTTGGTCTCTTAGAAAATACCTACTAATATAGTTCTTAAATTTTTAAAGAAGAATTTCTTTGATTAAGTATAATTAATCATAATTATAAGAATCATAATGTGTGCTTACAATTTTAAAGAAATAAAATTTTCTCCTTTATGTGAAATTTTAAATTTTAGCTACTAAGCTAAATTGTTTAGTAACGTGGAACTGACAGTGATAGATAGTGTCATTCTGTCCATTGTTTTTGTGAAAGAACTGGGTAAGTTCTTACAAGGCTTATTAGACCAGTGCTCTGTGTCAGATGGAACTGTTTTGTATTTAAAATCTTGTTTGTCCTTAATATTTTTATTGATTTCCTGGTAGATGGCTGATCTCCAACAAGAACATCAGAGGGAAATTGAAGGCCTACTGGAGAATATTCGACAACTTAGCCGAGAGCTTCGCCTTCAGATGCTTATTATTGATAACTTCATACCTCAGGATTATCAGGTAAGAGGGAAGTTCTCTGACCTAGATATTAGGTCACTTGGCTGGGGTTAAGGAATAAGAAAATATGATTTCTGGGGCTGGCCCGGTGGTGTAGCAGTTAAGTGCACACCCTCTGCTTCGGAGGCCTGGGGTTTGCAGGTTCGGATCGCAGGCACGCAGCAGTGCACCACTTGTCAAGCCACGCTGTGGTGGTGTCCCATATAAAATAGAGGAAGATGGGCATGGATGTTAGCCCAGGGCCAGTCTTTCTCAGCAAAAAGAGGAAGATTGGCATCACATGTTAGCTCAGGGCTAATCTTCCTCACACACAAAAAAAAGAAAATATGATTTCTAATATAATTGATGGTAAATATTTACATTTCAGTTGTCAACAATAAAACTTCCTTAAACTAATGCCATCACATTTCACTTCTGTTAACTCTTCTTAATACATAGTTCTCTGTTTGTGTACGTAAGTATCTAAATAAGAATTTCTCAGCCCTTTGGAGGAACTCAGATTCATGTAACTGCAGTCAGAATCAAGGTATAGGTCCTGTTTATTCATTCAACATCTTTTTTTTTTTTTTTTTTAAAGATTTTATTTATTTATTTTTTCCCCCCAAAGCCCCAGTAGATAGTTGTGTGTCATAGCTGCACAGCCTTCTAGTTGCTGTATGTGGGACGCGGCCTCAGCATGGCCGGAGAAGCAGCGCGTCGGTGCGAGCCCGGGATCCGAACCCGGGTCGCCAGCAGTGGAGCGCGCTCACTTAACCACCAAGCCACGGGGCCGGCCCATTCAACATCTTTTATTCTATAAGTGGAATAAACAGAACTCCTGTGCTTTTTCTCCCTGCTTATGGATGCTAATTCTGCGTGTGTTGGTAAAATATACATAACATGAAATTTACCATTTTAACTATTTTTGAGAGTACGTACAGTTCAGTGACATTAAGTACATTCACGATGTTGTGCAACCATCACCACCGTCCATCTCCAGATGGATGCTTAATACTAGTATAATTTTAAAATCTCAGCCTCTGTTTTTCTTTACCTCAAATTTCCATCTTTCCCCAGTACATTTTAGTAAACTTTAGCATATTGATTTTTTAAAATTTATTTTGAATCTCTATACAGCTTTAAGAAATTCGTCTGAAAATAAGCCTTAGTATTTTTTTTCTTTGGACCTCAGGTGCACAGAATTAATCTTTGGTTCATGGTACACTCTCCTTTTTGGTCCGTGGATGGCCTGCTTTTATTTATGTAGTTATTTTGTAGTGAACTCGTCCCCCAAAACAAAAGCTAGGACCATGACAGTAACCTACTTCTAACCAAATGGTTTCCCTCTCCCCTTTTCCATCCCTTTGCCTCTTGCAACTCAAGGTAACCGTCATCCTGAATCCCATGTTCTTCATTTCCTTGCTTTTTATTTTTATATAGTTTAATTGCATCTACATATATTCCTTAAAAGTATACATATTTAAATTTATAAAAAAGATATCATGCAGAATATAATGTTTTGAGACTTAACTTTTGCACTTAATTTATTAAGGTTTTAGTACCATGAATATTTTTCAGTATTTTGAATGTTATTAAAAGTAGACCATCTTTGACTCTTTTAAAGGAAATGATTGAAAACTATGTCCACTGGAATGAAGATATAGGAGAATGGCAGCTAGTGAGTATTACCTTCATCCTTTCATGAAATACTTACCGAGTACCTCCTGTAGACTAGGAATTGTGCTGGCTACCATGGGGGAAAGGTGGTCTAGAGGATGAATCAGATGAAAATCCAGTGGGGTGGACAAGATGTTTTCTAACTGACTGTATTATAACACACAGAATATTCAGTGGAAATGGTATACATTGGGGCTACATAGGACTGAATGACCTCTGGGTCCGTTTTTGTTCCAGCATTCTGATTTGAATTCTGTTTTACGAATGTAACATCGGTGCATCTCATAGTAATTTGGCTTATTCACAGTATTAATTGCTAATTAAGACAATTCTCCTCCCCCCCTTTTTTCCTTTTTTGAGAAATGTGTTGCCTACACAGGAAATAACATGAGGAAGCAGACTCCAATTCCTGATAAAAAAGAGAAAGATGTAAGAATGCCTTTTTTTTTTAACTACAGTTGTTTCTTTATAGGAATGTGGGTCACTAAATTGTGTTATCAACATGATATCCGTTAATCAGCTCTCCTGAAAAATAGGCTAATCTTTTGGGAATAGAGGCTGTAGGATGAGATGATCATTAGGACAGTTCTTCTCGCTTTCAGTCATGATGGCAGGCTTATCATTTCTACCACAAGAGTGGCATGGAGTCATCTTTGGTGCACTCTCTTCACCACTTCTCTGGGTCGTGGGGATATGGTTAGAGTCTGGAATGTGTGTGTCCTTTTCAAAGCTATTTCTAGTCTTAGGTCAACAAGAGGACGTAGCAGCGTTAGGGAAAATAGCAACAGTTTTCCTTTACTACTAAGGAATTTATAGTGTGTCAGGGCATCTTATTCATCAACCCTTGGTGAATACATTTGCGATAAATGGCGTTAGAAGAAGATATCGTTAGATATTTATTTGGTCTTGTCTTCTGTGGCTTTTTTCTAGAGTTTATTCAGTGTTTTAAATCTTCCCCCAAATCTGGTTTAAATCCATCCTATAAGAGCATCTTGTGTTTGCTTTACTTAGCCCTTTGAAGTGGACCTTTCCCACGTGTATCTGGCCTATACTGAGGAGAGCCTGCGGCAGTCCTTGATGAAATTGGAGAGGCCACGGACTTCAAAGGGGAAAGCAAGGCCAAAGACAGGGAGAAGGTAAGGGCTGTCTTTGAATACCATGAAATAAAGGCAATGAGATATTCTAATTAGATACATTAAAAGGAAATTAGTTAACATGCTAAATATATTGGCTGATATATTTAAATAAATGTCAAGTCCTTATGTAGTTGCGATTTGAGTAAATAAAATCTGGCTAAAGAATTAAGGTCTTCCAACTTCTTTAGCCCTCCTGAGTAATAGAATTCATTTTTAATTTACTTTGTTCTTTCCAGTGTATAGTAAGTCATCTACTATCTTAATTCCTTAATTCTTACACTAATTCTACTAGTGAGATGCTAATTAATTTGCCTGTTTAGACTCCTAAGGTATTGTATACAGCTGATTTGTTTTTCTATCATAAACGTTACCCCAAGAACCTTCATTTCCTCAGTCACCAGTTAAAGAAAACTTCTCTGACCATCTTTCCCTCTTCTTTGGGTGCTGATTTTGATTGTTGAGTAGTGTATATGTATCATAACATAATCGCAGGGAAATAGGGATGTGAGAGCCCTGTGTTGGAGTTTATTTTTTTTCTTCCTTCCCTTCATCAAGTACTGTTCCACTTATTTAAACTGATTGTAAGACTTTGGGGTTCCTGAAATGGTGGGAAATAATAAGCTTATTTTTTTCCCCTACTTGGAGTACATAGACTTTTGAGTTACATGTCGAGTGAAGTTGTATGGTTTTAATATTTTTGTGTTACATAATCTCATAGACATATACCTAACATTTATAAATTTGGGATAGTTGAACTCAGGGAGGAGGAATCAGTAGCATATTAAAAGTGTACAGATTTTTATATTCTTTAGCATTTAGGTGCCAGGGATTAAAAACTTTTCATATGCCAACAAAAGCCATGGATGTAATATTAGTGAATGAAGCAAATCAGTTCAAAGAAATACAAATCCCTCTAGATCTTTCACTTTTCCACTTTTTTTGTGTGTGTGTGTGAGGAAGATTGGCCCTGAGCTAACATCTGCCAATCCTCCTCTTTTTTAGCTGAGGAAGACTGGCCCTGGGCTAACATCCCTGCCGATGTTCCTCTACTTTATATGGGACGTTGCCACAGCATGGCTTGACAAGTGGTGCGTCGGTGTGTGCCCGGGATCCGAACTGGCGAACCCTGGGCCACCACTGCGGGGCGCATGCAGTTAACCGCATGCGCCACCGGGCCGGCCTTGCACTTTTCCACTTTTAATAGAGCTATTTTCCTTCTAACTCTGAAGTTAGTAAGAAAAATAACAATGCAAGTGTGATGATAAATGATAAGACAGGTGGCCTCAATGTAAGAGAAAAATAGGCAGTGATGGAGACTGAGGCAGACTGGAGAGTGGTCTGTCTGAAGTGGCTGCCACTCTGTTCCTAGTTAGTTTTAGGAATAGAAGACCCATTGTTTCTGGATCGTCTTGTTTCAAAAGAGAAGCCAGAAATCCAGATTATATACCTAAGATCCTTCAGTTTTTATTCACTATTTTTTTTTTCACTATGTGGACTTAAACAAATAATTTAATAAGGTATTTGGATGTAGGTCTCAGAATGCTCATTTTAAAATATGTACTTTTTTGGTTTAACCTCAAAAAAAATACATTTGAGCCAACATTAGATGACCCAAATCCAGCATCTCTGTGTATCAGAATTAGCCTGCTGAATTATGAAAACCGTAGATGGCCATCAACATAAACAAATATACACAATATATGGTTTATTGATATTGCATTACATTACACGATAATGTTCAAAGTTCCTCGTTAGAAATGCATAGTTCAATGTGCTAAGCAAAATTGCAGTAAAAATGGTACATTAACGTAGCATTTCCATCAGTCCCCATAATGCATCTGTGAGGTGTTGCTTCAGATGATTTGTGTCTCTGATTTGCCCTAAATAAACTTGCACCTTTAGCATACCCTGGAGGAGATAATCGAGAGGTTGAAACCTGGCAAGCATGCAGCCCACTTGGCCTGGCCACATTGTCTAGTCCAGTTTTGGAAATGATTGTCCACTCAGACCCTCACCACTCTGGGCGGTGGGTGGCGTGCTATGCTCTTGCATCTACTCTAGGTGACCTTCCCCTAGGCAACCATTAATGATCTCTTAAGACCGTCAAACATGTCAAAGCTTGGCCTGTTTCTAGACCCTGGGGCCACCTTATATTATCTACTATATAATGTGAAGTGATTGCATTTCAATCTTTTAGGAAAGCATTCATATTTTCTTTTTCTCTTCTCCAAACAGAAAGCGTTCTGCAAAGCCTGAAACTGTAATTGACTCTTTACTTCAGTAAATGTTACAGACTTCAAGTCACAATAAAAATTAGTTATATTCTCATCCCTAGACAGTCTTTAATTAAAACACTGAAGACTTTTGTGTAATTTCAGATGATGGAAGCTGTAAATCATGGAGTAAGACTGGAACTAATAATTTGCCTAATAACTTTTAGTCTCTATATATTAAGTTAATATAACATTACAATTGTACAACTGGTAATTGTTCAAATTGTCATATTAATCTTCAGTTTATACTGTGCAGGGAAGTTGGAGGAGCAGCTCTTACTGGAGAGAGTTGCAGTTTAAATTTATACATAAATCTGCTAGTAATTTACTCAACTACTGTATATTTAGATAACTAGATATTCAAAATAGAAAAAAAAGTATGTTCTGTTTTGTACACAGAAAGTAGCAGATCTAATTGTCCTGTGTTGTGCTGTTAGATACGAATGTATGGGCTACATATCTAAGAAATGATTCAATCCTAACACCCACCTGACCTGTTTAAATATGTTCTAATTATTATACTAACATTCATTGCATTTTAAGTATGAGGTGACTGGTCTTATTGATCTGTAGAAAATTTTATAATTTGTCAGTCAAGAAGTTTACATGTTTAAAAAACAAAAGTTGAAAATACATTTCATCTGGACCTCTCTTGACCTTTTTTGCCACTTTGACTTCAAGTCAAATATACTGTTTTTGTTCTGGTTTCATGTTCTCTTGAAATGTTGAGTTTGTACCTAAATATAAAGGAGTCACAGTTGTAGAAAATTAAGAAGCTAAGTACTGGTCACTAATCTTGCTCATATATGTATAGTTTTAAAAATTCGCTCTGAAGTGTAAGTAATGGATGGTTTCTTGCGTCTGAGTTCTCAATTTTGATGGAAGTTCCTCTGTGTCTCCCAGTTGAGAAGGGTCTCCATTTTCTAGAAAATGCAACCAAAGCAAGAAAAATATCTGTTAATCCTTTGCCTTTAAAACACTTTTTTCTTCATATTTTATAAAAAGAAAATATTCTTCCCTGAATGTCTTCCATTGACAAATCCAGTTAGACCATATTCCTCTAAAAATAAAATGTATTTTTATTTTATAGTAAAATAAGTTGTAATAGAATTGTTTGTTCTTTTGTTGGCTGCTTACAAATTTTTTTTTGAAAGCTGTGCTACTCCTAAACCACTTATTATATCTCTTATAAGTTTTAAAATTGTGTAATCAGCCCTGAAACACATTGGTTGCAAGTTTTGAGACTTCACAAATTAGTATTTATTAAGTTAACATTAATTTAACAAGTTTGATTAAAATACTGGTTTATAACTGTAAAGCTGTGTATAGAGTAGGGGTGAGTGAGGGCAGCGTACTTGTGAGGTGGTGGGAGAATGTGTCCACAACTTTAAAGTATGTTCCAAAAGTGGTGTACTAAATGTCCTGTGTGTGGTGAATATTGTTTAGGTAGTAAGAATTGTACTTAACTGGCAGCATTTTCTCTGTAATATGTGAGATAGAAGTTTATAACTTTATTCTGTGGGGCATTGTTTAGATACTGTGAAGACTTGAGGTGAATTTGCTTCCTGTAATAGCTTTGTGTGAGCAGAATATCTTGGCAGTTGTAGATGCACATTTAACTCTGTTAGTAATTACTCTAGAGAAATCTTAATTTTACCAGTAGAAAAACAAGATGAATACTACTTCTTTTTGAAAGTCCATGTTTCTAGCCTTTAACCGTGCAGTTAATAGGAAAGAACTAACTTTTGCACTAAGCTTGAGAACATTATAGAAAATTTAAGCCAGTATGTTAAATTGTTTTCCATTCCGCTCCACTGCAATGACAAAAAGAAATCTATAAAAAGTCAAAACATTGAGAAATTTAAAAAACAGGCTGCTTTAGCAGTTTTTTTTTTTAAAAAAAAGCATTTATGTTAGAACTGATTATACTGGATGGACAATAAATATTCATCTTATGAAATAACAAAATTAGATATTTGAGCCAGGCCTGAGTATCCATATGAAAACATGGGACACTGCAGTTAGAGCCATTTGTTTAGCTCCAGTCATAGCAGTTCTGTGGTTTCTTCACATTTACTGTCTTTGTCCACAAATGAAATATTTTGTAACTTCATTTTAATTTTATGAAAGGATATAGTTGAACAAACTTGCTCATTATTTGAAATAGGCAGATTTAAAATGTGTCATATAAATACGCTATTGAATGAGTATTTTCTTTTTTCTTTAATTTAAAAAAGTAATATTTATTTATTAAAAGGAGCCTTGGTAGAACGTTATTTTTTTTGTGGTGTGTTCTGTAATAAACCCTATAATTATATATACTAATAGTTAGGATATTAAAATATAATAGTACTTCCCATTTTTGTTTAGATTCTTGTAAAGTATAAGATTAATCACGAGGAGGGGGTTTCTGCATCTATGTGTTTATTCCACAAGTAGAATCCATTTGATAAGCTGTGCCATCTACTTTCTGGGAAAGGGGAACCTTTTTTGCAGCAAGAAATTTAAGGTTACTTTGCGGGGGGGTGGCAGTGCTACTTCATCTGTAACATGTTTTTAAATTATGATTATGGCTTTTAGGTTGGTTTTTTTCTTTTGTTTCTTTTTAGTCTTTTAAAAAATATCTTTCCCTTTAACTCTTAAGGAAAGTCCCTTTCTTTCCTACAGGGCTGTGAATTAAGGAATGCATAGAGTTTACATTTAAGCATACCAGTGTCTGCCCAATTTTTTAATGTATACTTTTGTTTTCCTTTTTAGTTATTCTTTGTTCTTAAAATGCTAGAAGAAAACAGATCATCCTAGTGCCTTTGAAATTAGTAGTAGTAGTCTAATTTAAATCATTAATAACTTTAATAGCATTACTACCGTACTGCATACTGGCGAGAATTACAAATTGTACAAGTTTGTTGCATTAATTTCAAAAGCCGTACTTTCAGTGTACTTAATGTATAAATTGTATTTGTTCAAGTTGTATATATTGATATTGTATGTTTACATGCAGCATGGTTAAATAAGAAATAAAAATCTTCACCTAATGCCTGTAGTGTAGTGGTCTGCTTCTTTACTGTACTATTTTTGTATTTACATCCATCCTGATATTAATCCTCAGGTTCTTTGTGCTTGGCATCTCAATTTCATATGGTTAAGCGAGGCCTGTGTAATTTCACACCCAGAAACTCTTAATATTGTGGGTTTTTAAATAGAAATCATCATGAAACAGAAACCTGGGAGAGATGTTTTTAAATGTGCTTCTTCTCATTGATAAAATGTATTTTCACCAAAAATGTTTTTATCCAAGTTTTGTTATCCTTTTTATTAGGTGTTTGAGAAGAGAACCTTAAAGCTTTAAGTGTCTATGCAGAATACATCTCACTAAAAGGTAGAAGGAGACATTTCTTAGTGGTAACAATATCGTGATCTCTTTCAAAAACGTTTAATAAGCTTAAAATATCTCCAAAATAACAGCATTACTTGGATTATTGTTAATCATGTGTTATTTTGACAAACATTTATTGATTACCAGGCGCCGGGCTAGGCAGTCTTAAGAAATTCACAGCAAACAGAAGTTTTGATTTGTAGGCAAGTTTCGAAGGACTTAAATGTGCTTTTGCGTAGGAGAGGACTCCTCTGGCCCTTTCAAGGCTTGCTCTCTTCCTTTTTCCAACTGCTAGCTAATGTAAAACTCCTACACGTATGTAGAACTTGAAGATAAAATTAAAGACCTGCTATGGCATAAGCAAGATGATAAATAGTGCCGCCTTCACACCCTCTGCTCCTCCTCCCCAGTGGAGTGTTGGAGCTATGATATTCGCTTTCATTAAGCACCACCACTAAGGCTCACCTTTAGGAAACCTGCTACTGCCTGTGTTGTTAGGATGCTGTTGAGGACATTGTCCATCCCATCTTTTCATGACGACTCTCAAGAAATCTCTTTTGAAAACAAGTACAAAAAAAAAACAAAAACAAAGAAACCCAAGTACCAGCCTGAGGGACCTCAGTTAGACTGTGTCTATGGGATCAGTTAACACAGTTCTGAAGCCACAGGCTAAACTTAAAGCGAGCTAGAGGAGCCTTCTAAACACATTTGTTATAACACTGTCTGAATGTCTCATTCTTAAGCTGTTTCATTTGCAAAGCAAATCAGATATTCAGTCCTCCTTCGGAAGTTGAACAAATGTGTGGGAAAATGATTATGAAGAGGCTACTTCAAAAAGAACTTGTTTCCTCTCAGCATTTATCTTGGGCTTCCTGTGACCCAATCTTCAAGTTACTTTTATCAACTTTATCAGAACATCACTTTATCTTACCCAAACACGTTTATGGCTGTGACTAAAGAATATGACAGATCAGACATTCTTCCACACCTGCTCCCCTCCCCCATCCCTTTTTAGAGGGCTGGGGAAATTTTAGTTTTTAATCAAAGGCTTTATTTCTCCAGTTGTACAAAGGAATTTAACTGGGACTTTACAACTGAATGAAATATTTCTCGGAGTTGATACCAATCTTAGCAAGAGGATATTGCCTAACCCAACCTAAAAGTACCAGAGTCATTACAGAAATATTATATTGGCCTTGATTTCTACTCCATCATGAGTGATGCCACTCAGTCACCAGTTGTCTTCTGTACTGACTGTGTACCTACGTTGTGCTGAGTAGAAGGTCCTTGCAGAGCTCACGGCCTCCCTCAGGAGGGAGAGGTGGCCATGTAAATGGAGCATGACAGCGCAGCATATTGAGGGCTGTGGCAAAGGGGCGGGGGGGTGACTGATGAGCTGCCAGGCACAGCATCCTTCCCTAGCAGCTGGCATGGTGGCTAGCATGTGTCTGCCTGACCAAAAGATCAGTAAAGGCTTCTCAGCCTTTGAGAGGTGTTAAAGTGGTCCAACAAGTGGGGAAAGGCATTCTGGGCAGGAGTAACATGAACCTAGATGCCATGTGCGTTGGTGTTATGTTTAAAGTAGGGTAAAGGGGTGGGGAAAGATGAGCCTGAAAAGAAAAGAGAGGCCAGGATCCTACTGTCAAAGAGTTTTCTGTAAGCAGTGGGAAGCCGCAGAAGGATTTTAAGTGGGTCGCTCATATTGTTTGTGTTTTAGAGAAACAACTGCTGGAAAGATTGTGAAAGATGGATAGGAGGGAGCTGGGAGGGCAGATGATGTCCATGGTTGTGCCCTGGAGGCTGAAATGGCCATGAGCCAGAGGAGCTAACCTCCATCTCTTCTCAGCTGGCTCTCTCGCACTCATGGCTGGTACCGGGACTGAGGGAACATATATATCTTTACTTCTCTTTACTCACGTTGCTTAGCAGGTACCCGGGGTGCGCAGTCAGCACACAAAACATCAAAACATGCTTGTGTTTGGTGTAACACTGGCTAATAGGAAACAAGAAAGGAATAGACAGAGACTGAAGGTTGAACTAGGAAGAAGTTGACAGAAGGATGGAGTAGAAGAGAAGCACTTTAGAGAGCTGAGGAGAGAATGTCTGAGTGCTTAGGGCAAGGGCCAGTTTAGGAAATGCTAGGTGTGATAGCTAACTAGGAGATTTTAGTACTCCACCTGGGAATGGAACTCCAACTTGAGCTGATAAATTGAACCAAGAAATCAGCCCTGGGACTAGAGAATGTACTTGCCTTGCCCTCAGTGGAAGCTGGTAGGAACTGAGAAGCTAACCTTGCATGATCATAGGCCAGGCCAGGCTTTGCTCCGTGAGATGGCTGTGCTTTGCCCTCTGCTCTAAAATTCCCCATTCTCAGATAATTTGGGCACCCTGAGAGGCCAACAAAGATGACATGTGGAGGAGGGTGAAGAAAAACAGGTCATGGTTACTGGCGTGGCTAGGTCAATAGCAACAAGAGAGCCCCTGATGCTTTTTTATCAGCAGTCAGCATTTCTAACTGTGGCCCAAGAAAGTTTCAATAAAACACATTCAGTTATAAATTTGAGTGAAACATTTTTTCTTTCATTCGTTTATTCAATAAGTATTTATTGCCTACTAATGCCAGTTAGAGGTATAATATATTCATAGGTAAAAGGCGGGGGTCCAGTAGCAGGGAGGGAGGGATTCAACCTTTGCTGTCAATGTCACACATTCCATGCACAGACAAGAGGCACGTCCCATGAAGCAGGCATGGGCTGTGGCTAAGTTTCCTAAATGAATGTGCATAAATGACAAGCGTCTCAACTTTCACTTAATCCTGAAGTTTCTTTGCTCATTCTTTTTATGTGTGTCATCCTCAATTCATGTTCTCTCACTCCGTTGGTAAACTCAAGGGCTTATTGTTGGGTGTTTCCATCCAGAGCCCAGAACCACCTGTCTGGAAGTAAATAGAAATGTTAGTTGCATCTTAACCATGGAAGCTTATGACAGACCTGCCTGGAACCTGCATATGTCCTTCCTACGGCCCGTTCTAAATCTTTCTTCCTGACAGCCTTTCCTTTTACCATTCTGGCCTCATACACAAACTATAACCCACAACTCATATCCTGTGGTAAACTACAGCTCACATTAGCCATTGAATGCAAATGAGTCTCAATCAAAGAAGAAAGGAAATTAAAATTTTCAGTGTGGCCTTAGAAGGCTCCATGACTCTCTTAGTTAGTTGTTGCCCTTGGCATGCTGGTATTTTATGTGGGCAGGGTGAAACTGGCTGTGGTCAGGGTGAGACTTGAAG